ACAGAAACTGGGTGTTGCTTCTTCAAAGTGAAGCATTGTCCCAGTGAAATACCACCCTCTTTTTCACTGGCTTGATAAAAACAGGCAATATTCAAAACTTCAGAAACATATTAATATTTACTGAGAATATAACTGGAATAGTTTCTTACCGACACAATTGCTGTGATGTTAGCTGGCTTCCCTGTCCTTTCAATTACAAGACGTATAACAGTTGTACTTGTTTCATTAACTACAAATTCTGTTTGTCCACTGAACTTCACTTCTGTTTCTCCAGATGTGAAATGAATGAGTAATGCTAAAAGCAAATAAACTAATAAAGAAGCAGAGGGCATCCCTATAGAAAAAGAAAAGAATAATTAAAAATAAATTGTGAATCTAAAATACATAAAACTTTCCCGGTCGACCTTACCAATCCAGTCAACTCTTCAAATACTGTGATTATCTTGTGAGCTTCAGAAATGAGACGAAAACATGCACAGGTCTCAGCTATAATCAAGTCAGAAAATGTAATCATAATCTACAACTATTTATATCTTCATAATTTGCATTTAGTGATTTTCTAGACAGCATTTATCAACTTTTTTCAAATGGAGGAATAAGTAACTTCTTTTAAGAAAAAACAATGACATTGCCACAATTGTTTTCACTTTCAACCAACAAATAATTAGCTTATAGCTTGTCAGTTCTATTTCCACTTTGCTCTCTTGATTCTCTTCAGAAATAAACATGAATTGGCGGGAAGGGTGAAGGGTTGGATGTTTGCAGTCATCTCATAGACCATCTTCTGACATCTTATGGACCATGAAATGTTCTTAAACATTTGCATATTTACTTGAGATTCTTTTCACTGCTTCTCTTATCCCATGATTCTTTCGTGTTTTCTTGTCATGGAGAATCACTGTGGCACATTTTAATGCCATTGTAACCTTTGTGCAGCCAGACCTTTATTTTTGTTTGTTTCTGCACAATGTCTCATTTTCTTTTCTTAGGATAAGACAACTTAAAACTAAGGTGGTTTATTTCTCTTACATCCGAGTCCACTTATGTAATGTAAAATACAAGTTTAAGTTCCAGTGAAGCTATCAGGTGTTGATACTGTGAAGGACACATTTTTAAGAGGCTCTGGCACAACAAACTGGAAACAGCTGCTATGTTATGCAGAGGCTCACATTGTACAGTGCTGACCAGAACTGAGAACTTGGATGCTGGATGGAGCAGATTTCTGTCACAAGCAACTTTTGAACAAACCAAGAGAACAAAGTTGTGCTCCACACACCAAAAAGCTTTACAGCATGGATCTTTAATGGAATTAGTTCTTTCAGCAAATTTCTTTTAATCTGTAGTCACTATTTTATAGTGTTACTTTTTAAAATTTCTGTACAAAAGATACAAACAATATTTGTGTAATTACACATACAAATAAAATGTCATTTTGTTTAAAATTATACTTCCAAGTGCTGCACTTACCAGACAAATCTGGTCAATGACGGTTGGATAAGCTGTGCAGAACATATTACATTAATATTTGCATATCAATAATATTTAAGCTCATCCATGTTTGCAAAGCACTTGTTTTCATTATTTATGAGTAATTGAATATTTAGTCACAAATGATCACTGAAACAGAAAATGTCATGCATATATTGAAATGTATTTTTGTAAAGTATGTGCCAAATTTGTAATCAGAATACACTTGAGGTCCAGTGCAGATTCTGAGTGTTTTATGTACGCAGTCAGGTAGCTTTAATCTTGCACTGAACAGAGAATAAGTGGTCTTCAGACCACTAAAATCAACGCAGCTTCAGAAAGACTTTAATTCATCTTACAGTAAATTCTGTCTGGGCAAGGGTTAACTCTATGTTGTGAGGACTTGAAATAAACTGCTTTCAGGCAAGTTAAAGAACAAAAATTATCCACAGACATGACATATTAAATAACTCCATAGTTGGAAGTACAGTCAAGAAAACTATCAGCATCTTTCAGAATTCCTACAAGCAAAGACTAGTGGGATGACAAAATTAGTCGATTTTAATTACTTACAACAAAAAAATCACCTAGTGCTACTGAATACCACAGAGGGAACAGGCGAGCAATGAAAGTAAGTGTAAAAAATCAGGACTAACCATTTTCCCTATGAAAACAACGATCCATTTTACAACCTACTTGAACAGTGTTTTGTTATTTCCAGCAGAAATGTCACACAGTAAAATAATTTTGCTGCAGATCTTCACATTCCTATAAACTTTTATTGCCATGAACACAGTCCTTCAAGATATCCATGGCTCTTATTGAGAATTCGATGTGTAATAGACTTTCAGGAACAATGCTTGATTCCTACATATCTATTTAGTAATTCTAGTGCAGAAAAAGCTTATGGTAGGAAGCAAAATATATAAACATAAAAGCCCTGGGATTTAAAATTGTCAGCATTTCCAAAGTTGACTGTATTAACTTGCAAGATGTTTTTGTTGTTTTTATGTAGAACAGCTCTGAAAAATACAAACCTTCAAGCTGGAAAGAGAACAGTTGTCTAACCTTTGTAAACTCTGAGACAATTACACTGTCTGCACATGCAGGCATCATCCATACGAAACTGAATAATTTGTTGACCTTTTAGCTTCAGCTGTTACCTTGTCATGGACTTCGCAAATATCTTCCCACGGTACATGCTTCTAGTAAATAATACTGAAAACATGATCCTTGAGGGCAAGATTACAAAGTTTAGAATTACTTGAATTCTATTACTTCTACTAGACAGCATTCTAAAACTATAGGATTACTCCTGAGGAACAAGAGAGGTTTCACAATCATACCATCAATTATTTAGCTGGTATTCTTCCTTGTTACATTATTTGTACTATGATTTACTTTGCACAGCCTGCCAAAAGTAGTTTTTACTCTGTTTATATAAACTCAACTTTGAAAATTATTATTATTTTTAAAAATTGATGTAATATAGTAAAAATAACATAAATCAAGACGTAGAGAATGCAGAACAAATGTATTCAAATAGCTGAAAAGATATTATGGGTCACAGTATTTTACTTTATTAAATATGAACTCACTTTTTACGCTAAATTCCTACATAAACTTATATGGGAACACAATTTGTTCCTTATTAACTCCATTGCATAAAGCTCAGCAGAAGCCTTTGCAAGATCAGGGATTAAAAGACGACTCTTCCCCACCTCCCTCACCCCAGTATATCACTGGTGAGTTTAATTTTTTTTTTTTTTTTTTTCAAATGAAGCTGAAACTCTAGTCCTTGCTTATTGCTAAATTTTGGTAAACTGGTGCATCAAATACTCCCCTCTGCTTCACCTAAATATTATTGAGTTCGGTTCTCTCAACCCAGGGTATTCAGTCACGCTTTAAAATAGATTAATGAGTCAAAGTCATTTTTGAATGTTTTTGAAACAACAACAAGCAATGGAATATTATACTTCTTCAGAGTATGTACAAGTCAACAGACCAACTATTCTGTTACTATGTTCTGACTAAAGCCATTACAAATAATGATTTGTAGTATCAGTGGTAGTTTAAAGCAATGCTACGTACTGAGGCCTAGATGATATTTGTAAGGGGTTTACAATAAAAATTTTTGGCATCAAAACCAAAAGAAAGTACCTCTCAAAAAATTATCTAGACATTTTAATGATATTAAAGAATCTTAAAAGTCTAAAAATCACATTCTTAAATAAATACATAAATTAACATAATTTTAAAAAGTAAAGAACTCTAACTCAGAATTCTGAGTCATGATCCCTAACTAATATTTTCTTTTAGTCTGCATTTTATGGCACTTTCTGAAGCGCACTGTGTGTACCCCAAAAACACAGAATCCTAGCGTAGAGCCCAGCAGAGCATACACTGATTCCACACAGTAATTTCCACAGTAATGTCATAAATTATGTGAGGAATACCATTTCAATTTATTGCCCAGTTGGAGCCAAAGAGAGGTAGGCTTACGAAAGTGGTGTTTCTTGTAACTGATGAATAACCGGGATTAGCTCACTTTTTCTGCTCGGTTTCTGGAACGAATTTCAGATGAAGATTTTAAAGTTTATAAAGAATGACCAGTCTTTTCTGCAGACTTCTGTAAAGAATGAGAAGTCTTTTCTGCAGATTTTTACACTGGCTTCTGTGCTTAATAAACCAAAACCCTTAAGAATGAAAAGATCTCCTGGCTGTCTTCATTGAAGGGTGAGGGAACTTACAGACTAGTGGCACATGGGGAGATCAAGAAGGGAAATGAAAGGGCTGCGAAAGATTCCAAATCTGAAATGAAATGAGCGTAAAATGCCAGATATGGAACGGAGAATGGCAAAAGAAAGGGGAGTTCACTAACAAAGAAGCAGATGGAACGAAGGATTAAGTACCCTGTACCTCAGACTTGCCATTGCTGCTCGGGAGAAGAAACAAGCAGGTATGCAGAAGCAGCACCTCTCCCGCCGAGCAGCTACAACTTGATTACCACTGCTCATCTTCACACAACTCATTGTAGATTTCTAAAGTCCACGGACACAGCACAGCAGAGCAAGTGTAAAGCCTAGCGCACTTTTCACTGCCTGTCCTTGTCTACTCCCCATGATTACAAATACCCAGCCAAGTAGAACATTCAAAAACTGGCATGCCTAGTACTTTGAATTGAGTACAGCGTTACAGCTATCAATGGTTGCCAGAGAGAAGTCTATTCACAGCAGAGATGTCAGCACCCAACAGCATCTTTGGCTGAATACAATGGGGGAGAGATACATGTGCTTTTTCATATGTAAAGAGGAGATTCTCTGTAGTACTCAGGAACAGCACAGAGCAAGAAGTTTCACAAGGTCATTGCCCTTGCTGCACCTGTTGTAGAAACATATTAAAAACCTGCATATTTTCAGCATTTTTATTTTAGACATTCTCAGAACTACTGAAATTTACAACAGTATTGGAGAACAACCTAGGAAAGCAGCCGGAATTATAAAAATTTTGATTTTTTTTTTTATAAAAATTTTGATTTACTGAACTTCTCCTTTCTATGTGGTCATGATCCCAAATTAAGAGAGAAATATTTTATTTCAGACTGGGGTTTTCTTTGCCTCAAAGTTCCCACAGTTCACATATATGCAAAGGAGGACACAACAGCTGTGTCTGCAAAACCTAGCATATGGATAGTGGGTATTACCCAAGTGTGCTCTGTTGATTGTTGTTTCTTTTTTGGTTTGGGCTTTTTTGTTTTGATGTGGGATAAGTAAATCTCTCACTCTAATAAGAGACTGGAGAGTGTTCCAAAGGTACCATTTCAAAATAGTATCTTCCTATATCCCTTTTTTGCCTTCAACCTGCT